AACCCGAACACTCCCCCATCCCGACCGTGGCAAGTGTCTGATGTGGTTCTGAAAAAATGCTTTATAAACTGTCTCCAAACTTCAATTAATGCATAATTTAAGCTGGTTTTTAGTTTTAGATCTTCATATTAATATTACAGTGTCATTCAACAGTGCAATAGCCAATTTAATTTAATCTAACCAATTTTTGTCGTTAGTTACATTTAAAATCTAATTCCAAATCAAACAGAATAAACTATTGTCAACATAATTATAGAGTGTGATTTATTTTCAGCTCAAAATATCTTCAAACTTATAAAATATAAAGTTATTAATGAGAAAAATCCACCTGGATAACAGCAGACAGACTGCTTGTAAAATATACGACAGGTCTGGACCACTCGTGAATTTTGTTCGTATCTGAAAAAAATCTCACAAAACGAGAAAATTGGTGAATGCCACAAATTCTCCTAAATCATTCGTACGCACAACTTAAGGACAAATTTGTTCATAAGAACGGTTCTTGTATGAGGCCCAATGACAGCTATTTCAGAAAAAAAGTAAGGCTTTAGTGCTCCTGAGCACAAAATGATGAATAAAAATATTAAAAAGAAAATAATATAAGTGATCATATCTACAAGACCAAACAAATACTTTGTCCACACAGTGCTGTGGTACAACCTGCTGTACGCATTCACCTTGAATAGCGACACCATTTTCACAACTCAACCCTTTTCCACGATGGCTCTTCCTCAATGAGCTCTAAAAGAAGCTTGTAGTWCGACACGTAAGAAGACAACTGGAAGCCTGCCCCCAGCTGTAATCCCAATCAGATTACTGAGGCAATTTAAAGGTGCATGGTGACAATAGCCACAATCCAAACAGTGAAAAACAAAAACAGAATGGACCAACAAAAAACAGGTCATCTGCMCAAGCAACAAAATCACAAAGGTGGCCTTGTTCATTGCAAATGCAATCTACTAGTGTGCAATGAGCCAGAAGCAGGTAGTTTGCCACAGCAAAATATTTCAAATAAAAATATTTCAAACATGAATTTGCTGTTATTTAGACCTAAATATGATACAACATATATTACAAGTGACAACTCTTAACAAAACTGGAATTAAAAAACACTGATCTCAATGCAGGTTCATTTTAAATGACAGTTAGTAGAAGAGGTTTGTGCATGTTAAGAAGGCAGAAATCTACTGTGKTCTTGGCCTGATAATCCATTAGCTGGTTTTTCCTGCAATAAATTCTGCCTAATATTCACACAGATCATTTTCTGAGCCCTTTCCGCCATTTCTTTCTGAGAACAGCTCTAAAGGAACACAATTTTAAAAAGCTCTGAACTCTCCTTTTAACGTTTTAGCATTTTGTCATTGCAGGTATGAGCACAAGTCACTTTATAAACGTTTCTTTTTGTGTTCAGAGAAGGTCTCACAGTTTACAAACCAAAGTGGAAGTATTGTTTTAGTTTGCAACATGTTGAGAAAAGAAAACAAACTTAAGTAGCAGCTGGTTAAGATTATTAAACTATAATTCAAAATTTGCTTCAAATCCACGATTTCTCTCAGAAACRAAGCTTTACTGACCCAGCCAATCGTTGAACTTTTTGACCTCAGAGGGAAGTCCCAGTTCGGTGAAGTCTCCAGCATGGATGAACACATCACCGTACGGCATCTGGATGGCATCGGTGCGGGAGTGTGTGTCCGAAACGCACACAAACCGTGTGTAGCCTGGTGGCTTGGGAGTGTCRTGAGGCATTGGGTCCACCCTGACAAGAGGAAAAGAACAAAAAGAGAAAGTAAGGGTAGAGGGCAAGACAAAGGKCTAAGTGCATTTGTCAGTGCACTTAAGACTGGTGAATACGTCTCAATATTGTCTGCCAAGTCTCTGCAGTAGGTGGCTGCCAGTGAAAGAAAGACAAAGACACCCTCAACAGACTACGACAGCATGAGGAAACACAAGACAGAGGTAGAAGTAGGAATGAGAGGCCACAACAAAAGCACATCACTGAGAAATGCAGTAAAAGAAATGTGCAGAAATAGGAAAAAGCACAGATATAGAAAAAAACGATTGAGTCCTGTGGGATTTCCAGCAAGTATGCGGGTTCTCTAGGGGAAAAGGGGGGAGCATGTGAATAACCATGGCCCACTTTAGAGTTTTCCTACAGGTAAGGATTCCACACAGCTTCTGCCATCCCAACACAAGACAAACAAAAAAGGCTAATTTGAAAACATCTAAGACAGATGTAACAAAGTAACACATTATAAAAATATTTTAAAATATACTCATTTACACATTAATGGGTATACAAATAAGTATACCATATAAACTGCCTCATAGTGCCCAACTCTTTAAATGTTTTTTTTTGTTATAAAGTAATGTCAGATAAAATCAGCCTTCTTTCAGATTTTGCAAACTATCTTTAAAATAAATGGACAAGCTAAACAGATCATCTCATGCAGTTTACCTTTTGAAACTCCACACTATTTAGTTTTAATTTAAGAAATCTCAGATGGTGAGAGAAATACACAGACATCCAGTTGCTCTGTTTACCTCCGCCAAGGGCGAGGTAATGTTTTCGTTCGCGTATGTCTGTCGGTCTGTCTGTGGACAACTTTACTCAAAAACTTGTGGACGGATTGTCATGACATTTTTACCACATGTGGGTACTGGGCCAAGGAACAAACCTTTAAATTTTGGTGATGTTCCAGATCACGATGCAGACACAGGATTTTTTTTTCTTTCAACAGTCTGAGATTGGCAAAGCTGTGATGCTTTCACAGGGCAGGACATCACGGACTTCAAACTTTATAAAAATAATGTTAAAACCAGATTTAATGGTGAATAATTTTTGCCATAATATGAGCATTTACAGAATGTTTTGTGACCAGGAAGTGCGTGACTGCACCATGAAACCTATTTTTCCCATTTCCTCAAACACACCACATTTCCGAAACAACCAATCAAAACATTTTCTTGCTACTAGGC